ACGTGCACCCCAATGTTTATAGCAGCAATGTCCACAATAGTCAAACTATGGAAAGAGCCAAGATGTCCATCAACAGATGAATGGATAAAGAAGATGTGGTATATATATACAATGGAATATTATGCAGCCATCCAAAAAACTGAAATCTTTCCATTTACACCGACATGGATGGAACTACAGGGTATTATGTTAAGTGAAATAAGTCAATCAGAAAGACATGTATCATATCATCTCACTGATATGAGGAATTTGAGAAACAAGACAGAGGATCATAGGGGAAGGGAGGGAAAAACGAAACAAGATGAAATTGAAGAGGGAGACAAACCATAAGAGACTCTTAATCTCAGGAAACAAACTGAGGGTTGCTGGAGTTGTGGGGGGTGGGAGGGATGGTGTGGCTGGGTGATGGACAATGGGGAGCATAGGTACTATGGCGAGCACTGTGAATTGTGTAAGACTGATGAATCACTGACCTATACCCCTGAAACAAATAACATATCATATGTTAATAACAAATTAAAAAAAATAAATTATTTATTTATTTATTTTTAAAGATTTTATTTATTTGACAGAGAGAGAGAGACAGATAGCAAGAGCAGGAGCACAAGCAGGGGGAGTGGAGAAGGAGAAGATGCGGTAACCGTGCTCCTGATTTGGGTTTATGAGGCCTTTGCTTAGTTGCTTGCTTTCTTTCTTTTTTTGGAATGGACTATTTTTTAAAAATTTATTTATTTATTTGAGAGAGAGTTCTCATGAGAGAGAGGGGGAGAGGGAGAGAAGGAGAAGCAGACTCCCTGCTCAGCAGGGAGCCCAATGCAGAGCTTGATCCCAGGACCCTGAGATCATGACCTGAGCCAAAGGCAGACGCTTAATGACTGAGCCACCCAGGTTCCCCAAGACCTTGTTTTAAATTTTATCAAGCATTTTCCATTATAAGGTAGAATGAACATAAGGTAGATAGAGTGTTTTTTATTATCTGATTTGGAAAAATTCTTATTGAAAAGGTTTGGGGTACCTGGGTGGCTCGGTCAGTTAAGTGTCTGACTCTTGATTTCAGCTCAGGTCATGATCTTAGGGTCGTGAGATGGAGCCCTGCATCCGGCTCCATGCTGGGCATGGAGCCTGCTTAAGATTCTCCTTCTCCTTCCTCTGCCTCCACCCCCACTTGCATGCTCATGCATGCTCTCTCTAAAAGAAAAAAAGAAAAGGTTTGAAAATGTACCAGATTCTTAGCCAATTTAACTAAATTTTTAAATAGTATGATGATATACAGATGGCTTTTTTTTTTTTTGCATTTACTTAGCTCTTCTGTTGTTCTTAAAATATAAAGTCTCCCTCAGCAATCTTCTGTTGGTGACCTCCAGAGAAGTTAAGAGCCACTTCTTGAGACTGCAGGTTGCAGGGGACGAGAGAATTAGGGAGAGGGGGCATGGTGGGCTACTGCTGGGGGAAAAGGGTCCAGGTTAGCTCTCTCCAACCTTCAGACATAGATATCATGTGTACCTGCTGGTTCCAGGGCTGACTGTGGAGGAAAGATGAAAATGGGAGCTATGGTCTTGCCTGAACCACTGTTGCATCAGAGAGCAAAGAGGCATGCACGCTGCAGGGATGCTGCATGAATGTCCGAATTGAAGGCTGAAAGAAGTAGCTAAATGTTAGGGAAACTGTCGATGCTTACAGGAGGTGCATGAGACAGAGGAGCTCATCAGTGGGCCACCTTGGGCTACCACTCTTCTCCATGGAGTCTAAAATGAACTAGGGACTGAAATGTATCTAGTTAAGACAGAAGGCAGTCACTGTTTCCTTAACCTTATTTCTTGTCCAAACTCAGGAAAAGTGTTTGACTAGCAGACAGTGGGTATTCTCTCAAAGGAAACGTGTTTAAATAGCAAACCATACTCCTCTCTCAACCTCAAGCCCTGAGGCCGCATGTCTAGTAGGTGCTGAGGGGCAATGAAAAAAATGAGCTTTCCAATGAGTTTGATATTAGTCTAAAAATGCTCAGGACTGCCTCTGGTTAAACAAGGCCGACTGAACATATGTATTTGTATTTGCTGCTTTCCTAAAACTTCACAGAATTGATAGTAGAGAATGCAAAAAGGAATGAACTCGCAAGAACACAGGATGGGAGGGAACACCAGACGAGTTGACAGCTGATCAGCACGGCTACACATTTTCATAAGCTAGAAAGCAGATGGATGGTGGAAACGGACTTAAATTGGAGAAAAGTGAGGGCTCAGTGTCTGTGGTGGCAGGGATGGGTATGAGATGGGCTGGGGACACGAAACAAGTTGATTCACTCTGCAAAATCCTAGAGGGATTCAGGACCTGTTGACATCAGGTACCTCTGGAGGGGGTGACAGAGAGCAAAAGACAGGGGCATTGGTTGAAAATCTTGAAAAGGACGTGCTAGGGGCCAGAGCTACTCCCCATTTCACTCAGTCAGCCAACTTTCCCTCAATCTTGCCACCACTTCTCCTTTCATCAGAAGACTGGAGGCTCCCCTTCCGGATAGACTGAGAGACTGACCCCGAGGATCTTGTGAGAGGGCCCTCGGACACAGCCAGGCAGGTCAGAGCTGGCAGCTACAGCCAGTACACTCAAGCTCTCCTTCCACTTGAGCCTCTTGCTGAAGAACTTCTGGACCCTTCCATGATCCAGTAACTAGAGAGTTAATGCCCAGCACAGCAGAGATTCTCAGCTCCACTGCCAGCGCTGTTGCGGTTGGGTGGGAGTCCCTGCTCTCCGTCAGCTAAGTCACCAGGCCCAGCACAAAATGGCAATGCAGGACCCTTGTTCTAAAGTTATAAAGAATTTCATTAAGCAAACCGTGGGGCTCTGCTAAGGATGGGGTCCTGCGTGGCTGCATGGGTTGCTAGCCCATGAAGCCAGCCTTGCCCTGCAATACAGCTCTCTGATATTCTGAATATTACCATTGGTTCTGGGAACTTCGCAAGCATCATCTCATATAATCCTTATAATAACACTATATGGTAGGGGTTATCATCCCTTTTTTTAAAAAAATATTTTTAAAAAGATTTTATTTGTCAGAGAGAGAGAGCACAAGGAGGGAGAGAGGCAGGCAGAGGGAGAAGCAGGCTTCTGGGCGAGCAAGGAGCCTGATGCGGGGCTTCATCCCAGGACCCCAGAATCATGACCTGAGCCGAAGGCAGATGCTCAGCCAACTGAGCCACCCAGGCGCCCCTATCATCCCTTTTTCAATGACTGAATAAAGGGTAGGGTTAAGAAAAGTCACAGATCTGGTAAGCTTTAGATCTGGAATTCAAATCTAGATCTGTCTGATTCAAAAATGAATGCTGTTACCCTCTACTGTGCTGGGTGCCAGCCTGACACTGTCCTTCCTCCCACCACAACCCCCCATCCCCGCCCACCTCCCCTCCCGCACATCCCCCTCCTCTCCAACAGCTCATCAGATGTTACAGGTCTCACACTCTTCACCAGGGAGTTTGAGCTCACAAATGACACCTTTGTGTCTCTTCATCCCTTTAAACCAGTGGTCCCCATCCCTGGTTGCACAGTAGAATCTGCAAGGAGGTTTTGGGGTTATATTTTTTTAATTATGGTACAATATATATAACATGAACTTTACCATTTTAAATATCTTTAAGTGTACAATTCAGTGGCATGAAGTACACTGACAACGTTGTGACCATCACCATTATCCATTTCCAGAACTTTTTCATTAACCCAAACAGAAGCTCTGTACCCATTAAACAATAACTCCCCATTCCACTCTTCCTCATATAAGTAGAATCATATTTGTCTTTTGTGTCTGGCTTGCATCACTTGGCATGTTTCCAAGTTTCATCCATACTTTAGCATGTGTCAGAATTTCATTCCTTTTTAAGGCTGAATAACATTTCAGTGTGTGTGTGTGTGCTCACGCGTGTGTAGGTATATATATATATATATATATATATATATATATATATATATATCACTGTTATCCATTCATCCTTTGATGGACATTTGGGTTAATTTTACCTTCTGACTATTGTGAATAAAGTGGCTATGAACATTGGTGTACAAGTATCTGTTTGAGTCCCTGCTTTCAGTTTGTTTGGCTATATACCTAGGAGTGGAATTGCTAGGTTGTATGGTAAGTCTGTATTTAACATTTTGAGGACCCACCAAACTGTTTCACATAGTGTTACATCATTTTACATCCCCATCAACAATGCACAAACATTCTAATTTTTCTCCATCTTGACAACACTTATTTTCTGTTTTTTGGATAACAGCCATCCTAATGGTTATAAAGTAGTATTGCATCATAGTTTAGATTTGCATTTTCCTAATAACTAGTTATGCTAAATATCTTTCCATGTGTTTATTAGCCATTTGTAAATCTTTGGAGAAATGTCTATTTAGGTCTTTGTGCATTTTTGAATTGGGTTGTTTTATTATTGTTGAGTTGTAGGAGTTCTTTATATGTTCTGGATATTAATCCCTCATCAGATAATATGATTCACAAATATCTGCTCCCATTCTGTGGGCTATCTTTTCACTCCATTGATAGTGTCCTTTGATGAACAAATATTTTTTATTTTGGTGAAGTCCAATTCATCTATTTTTTTTTTTTGCCTGTACCTTTGGTATGACTTGATACCCTGTTTTAATTAATGCCAGAGTCCTATCCCAGATTCTGTTTTAATTGGTCTGGGCATTAATATATTTAAAGAGCTTCCTAGATGATACCACTGGGCTGTCAGGGCTAGGAATCATTCCTTTATATATTCCCATTACACTGGTTTTCTAAAAATCACCTACCTTTAGCTGAAGGGTATCCTTTTAAAGTTCTCTGAAATATAGGAGCTTCAAGTTTAATCAACCTTGATCAATCAGGCTCCCTCAGTGTCCCAAAATTTATTTATTTATTTTTAAAGATTTTATTTATTTATGAGAGAGAGAGAGAGAGAGAAAGCACAAGTGTGTGTGTGGTGGGGGGTGGGGGAAGGGCAGAGGGAGAGGGAGAAGCAGGCTTCCCACTGAGCAGGAAGACCAATGTGGGGCTTGATCGCAGAACCTGGAAATCATGACTCAAGCAGAAGGCAGAGGCTTAACCGACTGAGCCACCCAGGCAACCCTCAGTGTCCCAAACTTAAAGTAGGGGTTCTTAAACTTAAGTGGGTATAGGAATCCTCTATGGATCTTGTAAAAATACATTTCTAGGTCCCACCTCCAGACATTCTATTTTTTTTAAAGATTTTATTTATTTATTTGACAGAGAGATACACAGTGAGAGAGGGAACACAAGCAGAGAGAGTGGGAGAGGGAGAAGCAGGCTTCCCACTGAGCAGGGAGCCCGATGCAGGGCTCGATCCCAGGACCCCAGGACCATGACCTGAGCTGAAGGCAGATGCTTAACCATCTGAGCCACCCAGGCGCCCCCCACCTCCAGACATTCTAGTTCAATCGATCTGGAATCTGAGTCTAAGGAATCGATATTTGTAGGAAGCTTCCTAGGTGATTCTTTTGGAGATGAATTGAGCTGTCAGGGAGAAATACTGCTTAAGGGATATGAATAATGACCCCAGTATACGCAGTCATAACTTCTGCCCTTTCATGAAAAACAGGGGAGGCATCTTCAGTCATATATCTTATGAACTATAACCTTAGGCCTATGCATACAACAATTTTTTTTAAGTAGGCTCCATGCCCTGTGTGGGGCTTAAACTCACAACCCTGAGATCAAGAGTCACATGCTCTACTGACTGAGTCACCAGGCACCCCACATCCAATAATTTCTAAGGACAAAATTTCTATCTGGGAAATTCCCCCAGGTTTTATGGATACTTTAAATTTTTCCTTCGATGATGACCTGGAAGAGGAGGCTCAGCACACAGACTCTCTGATCAGGCTCACCTTTCTTCCTCTTTAGCACTAGGTAACTAAAGTCCCAGTACATATTGCAGCTGTGCTTAAGATCTAGTGATGACATGGTACAGGATCACAAAATAACTTCTTCCTTCAAAGATTATTTTACCTGAATTATGATATTTATGATTCTAGTATTTGATTTTCAATTTCTATTCATATAGATGAAACTAAACTTCTCAGAGTGGATCAAATCCTCCAATTAAAGGCCTGAGAATGGGGGGCCTGAGTGGATCAGTCAGGTAGGCATCTGACTCTTGGTTTCAGCTCAGGGCAGGATCTCATGGGTCTTGGGATGGAGTCCTGTGCTGGGCTCTGCACTCAGCAGGGAGTCTGCTTGAAGATTCTCCTCCCCTGCCCCGCCCCCACTCATGCTCATTCTCTCACTCTCTCTCTCTCTAAAATAAATAACATCTTATTTAAAAAAAAAAAAGGCCTGAGAGCTTATTTAGCACTTAGCAATTATAATTTGATCACTGTCACATCCATAATACATCAGTGTCAGGAACATAGTAGTTATAAAAAAAAGCGTTGAATGATTGAAGGAATTAACAAGTGCTTCTAGAGTTGAGGGCTTTTATGTCTTTGCTTCCTTTGGTGTTACAAAATTTTAAAAATGAACTTGGGTTTCTTTCTTATTATTCTTGTGGTAAATTGTTCTGATTTTATTGTCTTTGTTTCAAAACTTTTCTTTAGTGTTCACAAAAATATTGTGCTGATATTATAGCTTCTCCCTAAAAATCAAATCCATTTTTATGAAAGGTAACCTGAAGCTCTTTTTATACTTTGAAAGGATATATTAAATTAAGGTCGCAACATGTAGTGAAAAGATAGACTTTCCAACAGTTAAAAATAACTTACATTTTCCATTATGTCTGTAATTTCTTCCTCTGCACTCTGAAGTTTAGTCAAAACAGCTGCTCTTTTTAGGTTCAGATATTTAAGTCGGTCCATAACTGTCTAAATTTGTTAAAGAACAAATATTTAAATACGTTGACATTTGAACATCTCAAATATTCTAAAACAGTGATGAGCTTATGTGTAGAATACTTCCTTGCCTCTACCTCCCGGTGGTTTGCTGGCAATCTTTGGTGTTCCCTGGCTTGTAGATGTATCACTCCAATCTCTGCCTTTGTTGTCACATAGGCATCTTCTCCCTATGTGTCTGAGTCTCTTCTCTTATAAGGATACCCGCCATATTAGGTTAGGGCCCAGACTAATGCAGTATGAACTCACCTTAACTTGTTTATATCTGAAAAGATCCTATTTCCAAATAAGGTCACATTCATAGGTATTGGGAGTTAGGACCGCAACATATCTTCTGGGGGAACACAATTCAACCCATAAAGTCTGCCCTATGGTCCCCAAATATTCATGACCTTAGAGGTCTAGCTCAGTGGGACCTGTTCTGGCAGAGGGAATACAGCCATGTCAAGATGGAGGCGGAGATCAGAGTTATGCTGCCATGATCCAAGAGATGCTTGGGACCACCAGAAGCTGGAAGAGGCAATGTTGGATCATCCTCTAGAGGCTTTGGAGGGAGCAGGGCCCTGCCAACACCTAGATTTTTTATATTTAGCCTCCAGAACTATAAGAAAATAAGTTTCTATCATTTTAAACCACCTAATTTGTGGTACTTTACTATGTCAGAATTAGAAACCAACAGGGACACCTTGCAGAAGTATATGAAACATTGACTCTGAGGTGAGAGATGGTGGATCGACAAAGTTCTGATGGAGAATGGTCATCTGTGGTAGATTGTATTATTTGTTCATAATTTATCCTTCCCTCTCTTCACTTGTTAATTCCCTAGCTCACTGTGGGTAGAATACACTTCCCTATCCCACTGGTATTGAACTTCTCCATGTAACTTGTTTTGGCCAATGGAATGGGCAGAAAGGCCAGGGTGCCACTGGCAAATGAGGCCTGGCAAGGCTTGGCAAGTTTCAGCCAGGCCTATCGGAGCTTCTGCCCTCTACCTTGAGAGAAGTGTGTCTTGTATTGTAAAATCCAAATTCTGGATATATTTTGAAGGAAAAGCCTGCTTGGATGTGGGATGTGAGAAAAAGAGAAGAGCAGCTTGAAGAGAGGATTCGACACTTAGCAAGAGGGGAAAACTGTGGGAAGAGCATATCTGGGGTGGGTGGTGGTGACAGTGGATCAGAGGGTTTTTCTTGCACACTTAAATCTGAGATAATTACTAGTCATCCAACTGTATACACTGAGTAGCAGTTGATTATATAGGCGTGGAATTCAGGGGAAAGGTCTGGGATAGTAACATGAATTTAAGAGTTACCAGCATTTAGTAGGGCAGAGAGAGAAGAGTGCACAAGGAGTGAGCCTTGGGATTCTCCAACTCTAGAGATGAGAGATGTAGAGTGTCCGGTGAGGTAGAATGGACTACAGTAGCATGGAGTATATTCTTTATTAAAAAATCAGCTTCACTGAGAAACAATTCACATATAATTCACCCATTTAAAGTATATAGTTCAGTGGTTTTTAGTATAGATTTGCACAACTATCACCACAATGAATCTTAGAACACTTTCATTGCCCCAAAAAGAAACCCTTTACCCATTAGTAGTCACTCCAAGTTAATTCTGAGATCTCCCATTGTGGTAACCCTCACCCCAGGCAACCACTAGTCTATTTTCCATTTTGATAGGTCTGCCTATTTTGGATATTTTATATAAATGGAATCATATGATATGGGACCTTTAGTAACTTTTCTTTTACTTAGTATGTGTTCAAGATTCATCTATGTTGTAGCATGTATCAAAGCTTCATTCTGTTTTATTGCTGAATGATGTTCCAATGTATAGATACACCACATTTTACTTTTCCATTCATCAGTATATGGACATTTGGCTTATTTCTACCTTTTGGCTATTGTAAATAGTGCTGCCATGAATCTTCATGTATGTTTTCATTTGAACACCTGTTTTCAATTATTTTGGGTATATATACTAAGAAGCTGATTGCTGAGTTGTGTGGTAATTCCATGTTTAACTTATGAGGATCTACCAAACTATTTTCCAAAGCAGCCACACCATTTTACAATCCCACCAGCAACATATGAGAGCTCCAATTTTTCCACATCCTCACAAACACTTGCTATTGTGTGGTTTTTGTTTGTTTGTTTTTGATTTTTAGCCATCTTAGTGGGTGTGAAGTGGTAACTCATTATGGTTTTTGTTTGCATTTCCCTACTGACTCATGGTAGGCATCTTATCATGTGCTTATTGGCCATTATTTGCTTTTACTTTTCTTTGAGGCACTTTTTGTTACACAGAGATTTTAAATTCAAATGTAGTTTTGATTTAAATATGGACAGAGGAACAGGGATAACATCATATATTTAAGGGTCAAGAGGAATTTTCCAAAAGTAAGTGGTGTTAAAATGTAAATATATTTTTGATGTTTATTAAAATAAGTACAATCCAGTCAGTAACTTTTTGATTTTCCAAACCTTGGGATATTCTTATGAACATTGCACTTACCATGAAGAGCTCCTCTGGGGGTTTATTTCCATCTAGCTCAATGAGATACTGGGAATTGTGTTCAGCCATTACTTCCTGCAGAAAATAGAAACCTTATAATCCAGGATCACTGGCAAAACTGAACACAAGATCAGAATCTTAACATACTATGAAGAAATCTTTAAAGCTAAGTTGTTTGCTTTATACATGATATAAGGTATATTATTTTAAGTGCTCTTTTGCAAAAGACTAAATTAGTCTTATCGTGAATTTTATTCTCTTTCTGATTTTTTTCTTTTCAGTTTTTCTTTACATTGATGTTTTAGAGTCCTTCCAAATAGAAAATGTCTGGGGGCATCTATCTCTCTGCATATATTCATAGAATAATTTCTACCAATCTGATAATTGAAAATGAAATTGGTTTGTTTTACATTTTATTCCCCTAGCTATGGGTGAAGTTCAATATTTAGATATCTATCTCTGTACACCGTTTAACCATAACATCTGTGCAGTTTTTTTTTATCAGTTTGTTTCTTTGCCCTAACATTCATGGAAAGTCTTTAACTTTTTTGATTTAACCCATATCAATTACCAGTATTTTACCATTAACGATAAAAAGGATTTATCTTTTTGACTTTGTTTATGGAATCTTCCACAATAGAAAACATTTTTATAATAAATTATATGCTTTCATTGTTTCTGGATTGCCTTTCTTGCTTAAATTAGATTTTCTCTATCTCAAGATTATAATTAATGTTGTTCTAAATTTTCTTCCACTATTGTTTTTAATATTAAAATCTAAAATCCACCCGATTTCGTGTTTGTACATTGGCAATGTTGAACTCTATTTGAGCCCTGTATTCCCAGAAAGTAGGGAAGATTGAGAGATAAGACACATCTCTACTTTTCCTCAAGGATTCGGATAAGATCTGTCTTCATCCTTCTCCATCATTCCCTAAGACTTGAGGATATCTCCCTTGTTTACCTGCCTCCATAAAACCCCTAGGTCCCACTCCTTTTCCTTGAGAAACGAAATTAGTTAATGTTAATGTTCTCCCTATTACCTAATGTTCTCCCTATTACAATAGTTTGAACAAAATCATCTCCTTAACTGTCCAGGGCATTTTGTTTTTCACAATATTATGTGAGGTTGGATTCTAAGTGCTTCTTTTTCTTTTAGATGGTACATTATGCCAGTATTATTTATTTAAACATAAATAGCCACGTTCTGAACAAGAAAGTACATACTGCTTTTCTATATTCAGATTCTTTTCTTAAGCTAGAATCTTAAGAGTGGATTTATTAAGTCAAAGGGTATAAACATTCCTAAGACTAAAAATATATACACCAAATCAGATGACAAGTCAAGTTGGGATTCCAAGACAGATAGGAATGAGAACTTGGCCTTGGATTACTCCTGAAACAGACTATAAACCAGAAAATGATGCTTCTATTTGCTTTTCTCATGTCTTTTTGAGGAGCACTGAATGTTGGTGATTTGGCCTCCTAAGTGAATTGACATCTCAGCCAGGTCAGAGGAGACTAGAATTGCAGGCTCCTACCTTTTATGGCTTTTCTCCCCCTTCCTCTACACACACCAGTACCCTGGAATTACCATAAAAGGCAATTATCTTACTATTCAGCAAGTGTCATGTAGGTTTTTGGCTTCCAGGATGTGAGACCTGGTCCTTATCCTTAGACTATCTCATGCCTGTGAATATAGTTTCCTAATTTTCTGAACCTTATTTTAATCATGCTTTATTTCAACCTCAGTGCCAGCCATTTAAGGAGTTTGCAGGATATTTCTGTTTGAAGGAAGAAAGAACATTATAGATAGACATGCAAAGTACTCTTAAGAAGCTATGTTTAAAGGCCAGGAATAGAAGAGGAGGTAGGGAGGAATAAAAGTCATACATAAGAAAGAAATTAAATTTGGTCCCCTTTTGTGGGTGGACAATGAGAATGAAAATGATCCACTCATTTGTCTATAAAAATATATAAGCCTTATAAGAGAGCATGAAACAAATCCTTTTAGTTTCTCTATCAGATGGGAAGAGGCAAGTTGAGGACTGTTTTTTGTCTTTGTAGTTCCATTGTTCAGCATGGTATAGTGGACAAATACCCAAGTCTGATAAATGTTTGTTGAATAAATCTCCAACACAAATTTGGCAGAGTCTGCCCTGGACTTTTGACCGTATAAAATATGCTTTTCACATAATTGTAATTTTAGTAATCATATTTTTAAATGCTAATTATTTTAATTAAAACCTTCCTATTTCAATATGTAATGGACTTAATCATGTTTACATATAATCAACTTTGAATGGGATAACCACAGAAACCAATCTGGGGATAATTGCAATTTAAATAAATTACAATCCCTTTTAGAATGAAAGATGCATCTTAAATGCACATTTATTTTGATAAACCCATAAATTATGGATTGAAAATGTTTTTACAAAATAGTCTCTTAACATGGGTTTTTCAACCTCCAACCATAAATAAATTCCCCTAGTGACTTTTGAAAAATGCGGTTCATTTATCAGTTTTCAACAATATTGCTGCTTTTTTAAGACTCAATTGATATTGTTCTGTGAAACAGCCTTTGGAATGGAAGCCTTATTCTAACAGCATTCTATCAAACTTAAGTGGTGGAGAATCAGATAATACAGAGGGATGGAAAAATGTGAAAGCCATTTAACCAGTGAGAGAACACAAATATCAATATTTCTATTTTTATCACTATATCTTGTTCTTACTTCTAAAGGATGAAGAATTATTTCCTTATAAAGTTTAACAATGTTGTCAATATTTTCCAAATAATCCTCAGGTCTCTGAACTACATGTTGAAGAATTTCAGCCACCATCTGCATTTCTGCAATAAATGCCTAAATGGAAAAGAAGAGATTTTCAGAATCTTTATGTTAATGATTACTTAATTAACAAGCCACATTTCTCCCTCCTTATAACTACATGCCTTTTTGGAATAAGAAGCAGGTAGAACGGAGACTGAGGATATTTATTTTAGAGACACTGAACACCCTAAGGGGCCTTTATCAGATGGAATAAAACTTTAAGTTAACTTGGATACTTCTTAATTTTTTTTCCTCCTCAATAAGTAGAGAAGAGTAGGGGAAGAATATCTGATTTTTAGAGACAGAATCAAGAAATTAGATTTACTCTGAATACCTGAGCTTGTAATTCATTCATTCATTCATTCATTCATTCATTCATTCAAGATTGGTGAGTGCCAGGCACTGTTGTAGGAGTTTGAGATAAACTAGTGAACAAAATCAACTAAGACCCTGGGCCTCATGGAGCACACATTCCAGTTGAGGAAGACAGAGCAGAAACAACTAGACAAGTAAATATATAACATGTTGGGTGTTGGTAAGTACTAGGAAAAAAATGCAGAGTAGAGGAGATGAGGAGTGATGGCTAAGAGTGCTATTTTATATCAGGTGGTCATGAAAGGGTTCTCTGAGGAAGTGACATTGGAAGGCAGAGGGAATACTACATGTAAAGGTTCTCAGCCCAAGGCTGAGTTGGGGAGTTGGTTGGTGTTCAAGATCATATTTATCCTATTATTATTATAATTTATTATCTAATTATTAATTCTAGTCTTTATCAATGCACATAAATCCACATTTTATACTATTTGAATCATATTATCTACTAAGTAAGCCACTTTATAAATTTTTTGAAATGTTTTAAATACTATTTTAATGGTCAAAAAATATATTAATATCCCTAAAACATTACTATTTTTTTAAGATTTTATTTATTTATTTATGAGAGAGGCAGAGAGAAACAGCATGAGAGGGGAGAGGGTCAGAGAAGCAGGCTCCCCACTGAGCCGGGAGCCTGATGTGGGACTCGATCTCAGGACTCTGGGATCACAACCTGAGCCGAAGGCAGTCACTTAACCAACTGAGCCACCCGGGCGCCCTAAAAACATTACTATTTAATCATTATTCTATAGTTGACGAAGACTGTTTCAAATGTTTCACAATTATAAATAATGTTTCACTGAATAGCTTTGTAGATAAATCTTTACACTGCTAATATTCTCCCTTAGAATAGTTCCTAAAAGTAGAATTACTGGACCAAAGATTACACATTTCAAAATGGCTTAATATATACTATCTTTTTCAAAAGATGCTATCATTCTTCTCTCTCCAGCAGAGGGCTTCACTGGCATATCCTCATGTATTCAGTCAAGACACAGCTTCTTATTAGGCACCTACTGTATGCCACGCACTGTTACAGGCACAGGGGATAAGGTACTTGCTTCACAGAGCTTATATTCAGGGGGTAGACAGATAATAAGCAAGTAAACAAATAGCATAATTTCAGAAAGTGGTAAGTGCTATGAGGAAAATAAAGCAGGGTAGAGGGGTTGGACCTTTGCTGTCCAGCACAATAGTTGCTACCCACACAGACCTACTGAGCACTTGAAATGTGGCAAGTGTGAATTGGAACGTACTGTAAGTGGAAAGTACACACCAAATTTCAAAAGCTTAGCATGAAAAAAAGATGTATCTCAGAATTTGTATGTTGATTATATGCTGACATAATATTTTGGATATATTGTATTAAATAAAATATATTATTAAAATTATTTTCACCTGTTTCTTTTTGCTGTTTAAAAAAGTAGCTATTAACACATTTAAAATTACACATGGCAGGAGTATATTTCTACCACAGTGCTGGGTTAGAGTCGCTTGGGCCCTGAGGATGTCATCCCTGGGGTGGGACATAGGCAAGAAGAAGGATGTAGGCACATGAAGATCTGGGGGAAAGTGTGGTAAGCAGAGGGGAGAGGAAATAGTAAGTGCAAAGGCTGGAGATAGATTGCGTCCAGCATAGTTGAGGACTTGCTGGAAGGCCAGTGGAGTAGCTGGAATACAGTGAGCAAGAAAGGCGAGACAGCCAGGGATGAGATAGTGAGACCAGGTCCATGGCCTTGTAAACCATGCGAGGGTGTTTGAACTTTCATCTACACGTCACTAAGGGTCATATTTTTAAAACATGGCTCTGGCTTTTGTAAAGATGGAATGGGGATGGAGAGGAAAGTGGAAGCCAAGAGAACATATACAAAGGTATTACAGCAGTTCAGGGAGATTAACATTTGTGTGTATATAAGGGTGAACAGTTTCATGAAATTATTGGCCATCAACCCATGTGGGTGACATGTTCACAGGTCTGGCTTCTGAACACGGCTGTGCTACTAGGTAGACAGCAGAGCCCCATGGGGCTGAATTCAGTCTGAAGACATTAATTTGATTCTATCCCATAGCATTGGCCTACACTGTGTTTTTAAAATTTTGGATTAGTTGCCAACTACTTATATTTTAAAATGCTGATTTTGGCTTCTTTGGAAAAATCAGACTACCTGGTAAAAATAGGCTAGCATTCCCACATGGCAAGAGTTGGCTGGGCTGGAGCTGAGAGGCAGCTGTCTTCTGAAGAAGGGCAGGCACCCACTAGCTGTCCAGTGGAACTTTCAGCGGTGATGGAAATGTTGTGTATCTGTGTTGTCCAGTTTGGAAGACACAGCCATATTTGGTCATGAGCACTTGAAATGTGGCTAGTACTACTGAGGAACTAAATTTTAAATTTTATATAATTTTAATTAATTTAAATAGTCACATAGGACAGTGGCTACTATCTTGGACAGTGCAGTCCTTGCCTACTCGTTCTCACCCTTCCCGAGTATGTTCCTGGCTGACATCACAAACTGACCTGACCATGGTCCCTGTAACTAAGTGAGCTGTGACTCCTCTATCTTACCATTTTTGATTTAAGACAGAATACTTTATTCATGCTAAAACGACACACTTTTATTCCCATTTGCTATGAGGTTTTCCTTTTAAAAAAAAAAAGATGTATTTATCTTAGAGCGAGAGAAAGCATGTACACACAAGCGGGAGGGACAGAGGGAGGGGGAGAGAGAATCTCAAGCAGACTCCCCACTGAGCGTGGAGCCCCACGCGGGGCTTGATCACGTGACCCTGAGATCATGACCTGAGCTGAAACCAGGAGTCAGACACTTAACCGACTGGCCACCCAGGCACCCTGAGGTTTTCTTCCTTTTTAAAAAGAAAATAGAAACAGATGCTGGTTATTATCTAATGCCTTATTTGCACAGGGAAGATTATTTAATGTTTTTAAATGAGTTCTCTTATATTAATAGGTTTTATAAATTGAGATATAATTGACACATAATATTAGATTAGTTTCAGGCGTACAACATAATGATTTGATATTTGTATATATTGGGAAATGACCACCACGATAAGTCTGGTTAACATTCTTCACCATACAGTTAATTCTTTTTCTTGTGATGAGAACTTTTAAGATCTAGCTATTATTAAAGAACAAATGTCAAAGATTCATTTAGGCTGTTAGTGAGAAAACCAACAGGATGACAAAGCTGAGGTATATATAATCACTGAAATCAGATTGCAAAGTTGGATACAGGCTGTTTAATATCCTACAGGGCAATAGAATTGTAACCTTTGAGGGTTATCTTTTCTACCGGACAAATGATTTGCAATGTATCCATTTTAAGTTAACATCTGATTTTGCAGAGTGTAGGTCTAATAAAAATAGTATTTATACATTTATAATAAATTATAAATTGTAGCAATTACAAAAATACATAAAATTCCTTAAAAATATAAATAAATTAATTTATAATAGAAATCACAGGTATATTTCTGTAAAGCAGGGACTGGCAAACTATGGCCCACCTGCCCACTGGGCCAAATCCAGCCCATCACCTGTTAATAGATTTCTTCACATCAAATTTTCCTCATTAAGTCATGGTAGGAAATTCTTTTGGTATTCTATTGCAATTATGCTTACAAGCACTGACTTTAGGATTATTATAACATGTATATGTGAAATTGGGCTTTAGATTTTTTTCTAAAAATCCCTTTGCTAGATACTGGAATCGGGATTATGTTAACATCATAAATTGGACTCTGCCTGGGCTACTTGCTCTCCACATTACCCTGTTTTTTATTGCTTGGTCTCCTTATTCTAGCTTGCACAGGGCTTGACACACAGTAGGTGACCAATAACTTTTTGTTGCTATGAAATGAAGCAGAGTAGCTGTCAGGATGTGGAAGGACTTCCATACTGACAAGAAGGTTAAACTTGATGGCCTCTAGATTATGATCTGATAGTTCTTGAAAACATGAAATATTTGTTCTATTTCCCCCAGATTAAATAAACATTTAAAATGTAATTTTCTCTAGTATCTACTATTTTGTTTATCCATGCTATTATTTAGTTTAATTCTAGCAAATTTTAAAAGTGTAGTATGTGGTATTGGGATATTACCTCTTCTTCTTCTTGCTCTTCCTCCTCTTCACCTTCCTCTTCTCCTTTTCCTTCTTTTTGGGCTTCCTTCCTCTTTTTCCTACGATTCTCAATGACTTCAGGGTCCCACTGATCTCTTCTGTATATGTACCCGGTACTACTGTGCTGCCTTTGCCCAGAAACTCTTTGGCATAGGTCGTAGTCAGGGCACTAAGGAACAACATCAGTAACTTTAACAAGCATCCTCAGTAATTCTGACACCGACAGTTCATGCACCACACTTTGAGAAACAAAACTTTAGGAGCTTCCTTGCTCATTTTCAGATTTCTTCAGACCACCTCTATGTGGAGATGGGATGGGTATTTACTGAGGCAAGAAATTCATTTAGGTTTCCTAATTTTTCACAAGAAAGATTTTAGCCCTCTTGGGTCATTTTTATAATGCGTGTTTGCCCTTCCTCATTCAGTGACCCAGAACACCCACACTGTGGGTCCTTGACAAAGACTACTGCCTTCAGCTGTCTCCTATGTTCGCTTGCAGGAAGTGATTAATACGAGGGTGAGTCTGAAGGACATGCCTCAGAGCAGTGGTCCTCACACTTCAGCGGGCATCAGAGTCATGTGAAGGGCTTTTCAACACGGATAGCTGAACGCCCCCTCCCCCCTCCCCCAGAGTTTCTGAGTCATAGTTCTGGGGTAGGGCCTAAGAATATGTATTCCTAACAAGCTTCTGAGTGCCGCTGATGCATTTGGCTCTGGGACTGTACTCTGAGAACCACTGCTGTAGTAGATCACTGGCCCTTAATCTTTTTTTTTTTTTTTTTGGTAGTACAGACCCCATTAGAATATGAGGAAAGCTATTGGCTTTTGCTTCAGAAAAAACAGATACACATAATAAAATAATTTCAGAAGGTTCATGGATATTTAAGGATTCCTGGATTTCAGGCTAAGAATTTCTGCTCTAGAAATTCCAAGGTTTATCCCCAAATAAGGCCAAACCACCAGAGAAATGTGTGTTGTATTGAGTTCTGTCTCACATTAGGCCCTCTGATTATACTTGAGTCAATGTGTAGAAACTGGGTACTCGCTATCACATTTTTAATATAAATGAGGTTAAGGCCTTCATTCTCTACCTTGATGATCTTTTATATTAAGACCCATGTAAGATGTTTCTCTCATTTAAAATTTTAATTCTAATTTCTCTCATTTTGTTTTTCCTGAGGAATGTCTTATCTTTTCACAGACAGTGTGAATTTTATATAACTGGTTACATTTCCCTTTCTACTTTGGCTCATCAAACTCAGAACCAAATTTATGCTTCAAATGTAGGAAGCATTTGGAAGCTAGTGGCCTGTATATCTGTATTCTTGTTCCACCAGGTGTTAATTTCCTATACAATCTTTGTTTTCCATGGCTCGGACTTTATATTTGGCTTTAGTTAATTGTTTGAGAACTTTTTTTCTCTCCCTTATACACATGTTCACATGTGTGACATTCTCAAGGTCCGTGCAGGGATTTTGATTGGCCTCCAACCATGGCCTGTGGTGGGCTGCAGATTACACCATGCTCAGCACCATAACACCTCCTCTCTCTCACAGCTAACCCTAACACATTCCCGGGCACCAGCACCTGAGCTGAGAATCATCTCCTTTACTTTGAGCTGTCAAACCATATGGGGAATCAGGCAGGTATGAATATAAAAGCTTATTAATTTTCACATCAACCAGCAGACCTGGCCTCCCTGAATTCTTATTATACCCCCATGAGGCAGTTATTATTTTTGTAAAGAGGAAATCGAGTCTCCTAAATGTCATCTACCACATGCTGTTGATAAAGGAGAGATTGGGAACAGAACCCAAGCTTGATTCTTAATCAATCTAGTAATGTTTTTTAACATTCATATGTCCAACTCATTTGCTCCTTCTTTCATTTTATTTAACTGGCAAACTTATCAGGTGTCTATTAGGTACCATATATTGTGTTAGTTGATGTTTATATGAGTAAGACATGGTTCTTGCCTTCAAATAAGGCAGGGTCCAGAAGGAAAATGGACAAGTACAATATATAAGATAATACAATAGAAGACAGCAACATGAATGGTCATCAGAGAAGTATTTAACTCTCCTGTGGTAAGTAAGGTATAGGGGACAAGGAGGAAGAGAAGAGGAGAAGGAAGAGGGAGAGAGAAAAGGAGAAAGTGAGAGAGAGAGAATGAGTTAGTTAATATGTAGTGTTGGTGTGGAAGGGGTGGTCATCAGGGAAACAGGTCATGTCTGAACTGACTTTCAAAGGATGACTATGTTGAAGACTGTTGAAGAGACAGAGATACTTCCTGTGGATGGAACTGCAGGTTCAGAAATACAGAGGTATCAGAAAGTGTAACTCAGTAGTCCCTATGGTTGATATATAAGTTATTATTTCCTTAACTACCTAATATATATTTTTAAGATTTTATTTATTTATTTGAGAGAGAGAGAGAAGCAGACTCCCCACTCAGTGCAGAGCCCAACTCGGGGCTTGATCCCAAGACCATGAAATCATGACCTGAGCTGAAGGCAGATGCTTAACCAACTGAGCCACCCAGGCACCTCATTAATGTTCTTGAAGATGTTCCTTGAATTCCACTACTATCAAAAAGAATGGTAACTATAGTTACAAAAGAACTAATATTCTTACCTTAATATTGATTATAACATCAGGTTTCAAATTTAAATTTTTAATTAATTCTATTTGCTGCAAAGTAGTCATGGCATCCTGTGAAAGTGATGGTAATTCAGTGATAATATAACCTGTTGAGTAAAATATAATTTTTAAAGTTTTATAATGTTATCAATATATGAGAGCATTGATTTGTTATTACTTTATAAAATGTCATTTGCTTATCGATGAATATTAATGTAGATCTTAAAATCTGTCAAATATTTTTAATTAATAGTTAAGTTTATTGCCACATGAAGTATAACTGTGAATAATGTTTTTCTGATCATAAAATCACTGAGCTAGGAGGAGACATCTTTAAAAATTCCAAATCAATTTATTTTAAGCACATGAGGTGTCTAGGGAAGGAAATTCCATGCTAATAATTCTTTGGACGTTAGGAAAGCCGTAAAGGTATATTATAGGGGGTGTATAGTATATTATTTTCTTTCTAAAGCTAATGTTTTATAATAGAATATGTAAATACATAATGTTTATATATAAAACACCCATGTTCTCCCCATATAGTTTAAAAAACAGAACATTATCAATATGATTTTGGCTTAGCACATTGGCTTGCATCCCCACCCAAAAACCTAAATCTTATCATTGAAATTCATCCCATTTGCCATCATCACATTACTTTCTTTAATATATTTCTTTGCTTATGTCACTCTCTTGCTTGAGAAAATTTTCTCTTATTAATAAAATTTCAATTCCCTCAGAATTAAGGACTTCAATTTTTCTGCTATTTTTAATAGGACTTTTTTTCTTGAAAGAACTGACAGACAAATTATGGTTATTCAGTTTTGGATATTTGGCAGACATTTTATAAAAAATGAGTGGAGTGAGCTGGTCACAAGGACAACCACTGATAGTATTTGTTGCCAATGATAAAATTCAAGCAAAAATTCAAATTTTAGAAAATGTTTATCTACTGCCATAAGCTTAACAACTTCCCAATTTTTAAAACTTATCTTGATGATATTGGTGGTGAAATTAATAAAAGTGATTTTTTGACAGTGCATAATGAAAAGTGTCAACATTTGGAAAACTTAGCACAACTTAGTCAATATTTTCCAAAATAACCACTGCATGGTGCCTGCAAATCATGCGTGGGTAAAAGACTCAGTCTAAGTTTAAGATAGACAAATGGATTTTAATTAACAGAGTTTGAAAAGTTCTCAGTGTGGTTTTGGATTCTATAATGCCTAAACTTTTGGATTCTATAATGCCTAAATGCCTAACTTTCTTAAATAACCTTTAAGAAAGTTCCCCTTGGTGAGTTTTAATGTAGGATCAAGAATAGTCACAATTATTCTAAAGGCTATTAAAATATACTTCCCCTTTCTAACTACATACTGTGTGAAGCTGGATTTTCCTCATATATTTCAGTAAAAACAATATATTGCAACAGATTGAGCAGAAGGAGATATGAGAATCCAGTTGGGTCTTCTCTTAAGCCAGATATTAAAGAGATTTGCAAAAAAAAATTATTTTTTAATAAAATATGCTATTAATGTGAACATGTGATGGTTTTGTTATGATTTTTAAACAAATATTTTAAATATTTTTTAGTTCTAATTTCTAATATAATAAATACTGATAGATATAGCCCAAGTAAGCAAAAGCTCTTTTGGGGCCTCAACAATTTTTATAAGTATATAGGAGTCTTGAGACTAAAAAGTTTGAGAACTGCTATCCTATGCAATGCCTAGAATAGTATGATTAAAAAAAGGTATTAAGCATCTGTTGATAGATGAATAAATGAATGTGCCTAATAAACCAATCTCAAAATCCTCTCTTAAGAACATGCTTATCACATGCTTATTATTATTAGTTTTTTAGTTTACAAAAGCAGACCAACAACTACCAGAGTAATCCAAAATCTCATCAAATCCTTAGGCATTTCTCCTAAGATATTTCAAACACTTCAGTTTCTGCTAACTATGTGTTGGATGCTATCCAGAGAAGCAATCCTAAGTAGTTTAATTTCAAAAGGCAAAAAGGAAGACCTATTTTCTTTGGTTTTGGATATGTGAGCTATAATCATGATTCTCTCCTGTCTTACTATAATCTTTAGTTTCCAACTCAGCTTACTCATTTGCTTTTGCTGTTGTGTCTCAAAAATTTTGAAGTAGTGATGATATCCTAAGGCATCCGTTCTATTCAAGGTTCCTTAAGTGAACCCAACACTCCCCGGGAAAAATTTAGCCACTGCATGCATTGGCACTGTCTCAGGAACTGGGCCAGGCCTTCCTCTACTTGCCACCTCCTGCTGCTCTTGCCTTTTGTTTCCCTGGCTTTCTACTTCCCTAGTTTGGTTTGGAGCCTGTTAAATTATTCTCCATTTGATTAACAACCTTATTGGAAACTTGTCAAGACTTTGGGACAGGATGGCTGGCATTAAACCCTGGTCTGACATATTTTAAGGGTGAGTATTGTGGTGAGGGGCCCTAGCCCTAGACTGAACTCAACCCTTGCCCAGCTCAGCCCTCCTGACTTGACATTTCCAGAGACCATCTGTCTCCAGAGTTCATGCCTTCCCCTTCCAAGCAACAGGGGATTATACAATACCTCCCCTTCATTCCCTGTGCTGGCAGCACTGCCCACCATCTGTGTATTACAAAGGGATGACAGAAGGATGTTTGGCTGTGTGCTGTGCTCTCCAGCACCCTGTAGATTACGGCAATCACTGCTACTGCCTGGACAGCTTATCAGGCATTTCAAGTGCAACTGTTTGTAGGTATCATAAACCTCAGGTATACATGTATATTGGAATGAGTTTAAAACTTGGTCTCTTTCCTAGTGGAAGCAGCAGAAGAGTGGGTTGTTTCCATGGGGTCTGGTTCTCACCTGATAGGCCAGTATTTGGGCTGCCTGAATTTTCTGAGTGATGAGTTTCAGGGCCTTACTCATTGAGAGGTGGCCAGTATCATCACACCCAGACCCTAGGAAAGTATCTATGGAAGAGACGTGGGAGAGCGGAAGAGCTTAGTTCTCTAGACCCAATTCTGGATACTCACAAGGAAACTTCTTTGTAGACATATCAGAGCTGCCAAGCCCACTGCCAACCTCTCTAACCCCAGAGACATGTGTGAATATGGAAGCAGAGATGAGGACTTCCCCTCTCTGTCCCATATCTCCTTGACACCATTATCAAGCCCCTACCCTCAATGCTGAAGAGGGAAGAATGGTAGATCTCCTGCCACTCCTTGCAGCGAAGCTCTGTATGTACTATCATTGGCAGAGTAGATACGCTGCAGGCTAGTATTCAGCCTGCATCACCCCCACCCGGGAAAAACTTAAAATACTGTCCATATGACTACCCAGGGGTAACTACTTGGCCCATGCCATCACTTTCCCCCTACAGTGGAATGAATTCCTATTTCCACAAAACTGAAGATGGCATGCTACTGCTTTCAGATTGAAGTGATGAGAGATTCAGAAATATCAGGTAGCTTATGTCCCTCCAGCCCTAATATGTACCTGACCTCATGCCAGCTTGATTTGAGAGGACACACTGGTGACCAGTGACTTACGAGACTATCCACAATGTGATACACCGGGGGCAAGGAATGCCCAGACTAGGGCTGTCCATCATTACTGGAGAAAGTGAGTTTTTTTGGAATCTAGAAACAGGAAGCAGAGAGGGGCTTCTCAGGATGCCCAGGCATTGGCTCTACCTTTTTCTCTTGGGTAAGGATGCAGTTCATGGAAGCTGATTTTGGTCAAAGGCCAACACAGCATGACAGGTTGTGAATGAAAGGATTGTAATTACAGATTGTATAAGTTATTTCTAAATAGTGATAAAAAGTTCCAACTGTAAAAAGGCTCTGGTACAGAAAAAAGATTAAGATTGAATTTGGCAACATTCTGTTGTGCAGTGTGCCCAGCAGCACACATCTGTCTTTAGGGATTTTAGAGTCATCAATTACCCAGCCTCACCCAGACCTGACCCAAGTTAATATCCCTGTTTTGAAAGCTCATCACTTCCAATTTTGCTTCTATCATCCACCAGGCTGGTGGGTAGGACCAAACATCAGAAAGACTCCTTGCCAAGCAAAGACTTTTAAACTGCATTTAGCAGGGTGCTAGGTTCCACAGAAATTCCTTTGAGGATGCTATAGAATAGGTGAAGGGAATTTGGGCAGAAGGGGTTCTAGGTCCCATCCCACTATAGCCTTTAAATAAGCCCAGTTGTGCATGCCTAAAACACAGCCATGCAATTGCATGCTAATAGTGTGGCCCTCAGACTCAAGAAATCATTTATACTGCTTTTCCTCTGCCAGCTCCCAGAACAAGCACCAGTGTACAGCAAGTTTAGGGGAAGAGGAATACATTAAATGATACGAGGGGATGCGAGTCAGCAAAATCCAAAATGCAGGAACTTTCTTAAACACAAATAACTTGTTTTTTCAACAAAGAGAACACAAGATGATAGAAGGAGGTAGAGGGAATTTATAGATTAAAAGGGACTTGAGACATACCAGTCAATTGCTCTATTTGAAACCTGGTTGGATCCTTCCACAAACCCCCCCCCAAAAAAAACAAACAAATACACACACAAATAAAACAACCCCCCAAAAAACAAACAAAAAACCCAAAGATCAGCTAGAAAAAAAAAACAAGGCAAATAATGAAATCTGACCACAGAGTGGTCAGTAGATGATTTACTATTAACTTAATGTGATACTAGGTTTAAAAATAGTCCCTATCTTTTTGAGATATATACTAAAACATTTACAGATGAACTGATATGATATAAAATAGCTTCAAAATAAAGTAGGTTGGGGGAGGGATGTGGGCAGGAGTTCACATAAAACAAGATTAGACAAGAGTTGTCATTGAAGCTGGGTGAGGGACACATGGGGGAGTTTTATATCACTTTCTTTACTTTTGTTTGAAATCTTCCACAAGAAGAAGTTAGAAAGATTCTGAACATCATGAATGGCATAGCTGAGTAGGTTTATTTTTTCATTATCTTTTCTCTTTTTGCCAATATTCATCATTTATACCATCTTTTTGTGAGTAAATTACTCTAATTTTTATAAGAGGTAAGGGGAGACAAAGTATAAAGAAGATATGTGCCTGCCTTTCTGCATACATGCTTCAGTTTCTTTCTTCTTCTTCTTTTTTTAAAAGATTTTATTTATTTGACAGAGAGAGACACAGCGAGAGAGGGAACACAAGCAGGGGGAGTGGGAGAGGGAGAAGCAGGCTTCCCGCGGAGCAGGGAACCCGATGTGGGGCTCAATTCCAGGACCCTGGGATCATGACCTGAGCCGAAGGCAGATGCTTAATGACTGAACCACCCAGGTGCCCCCATGCTTCAGTTTCAATCACTTCGCTTTTGGAGGTCATTTACTGACCTATGTCAGAATTCTGTCATTGTCCTTTTTACCTTTTTACTCATTTAACCTCCCACATTCTGGATGTCTTCCCAAGCTCATCTTCTTTATCACTGATCAATAGATAGACTGATGTGTAGACAAAGCATATATATATAGAGATATACACACACACAACATATATAATAGAGAGATGATATTTATCTATATGTGGATGGATAGATGTAGTTTGTTCTGTATATCATCTGTATGTAGAGAAATCTTTCTATCTATAGATATAAATGATACAGACATAGTTTGCAGTGACATCTGCTTTTGCTACTTCCATTATTGATTTGCTTTGGCAATCATGGTTTTTACTTTACTGCATTTTATTTTTATCCCTATATTCTTAATAGTCACAATGTCCTCTCTTAACTTACTAAGGATACAAAGCAGCTTAAATTTTTCTTCTTTCATTCCATAAATCTATTTCAAGTGGATGATTTTCTCCCCAGCACATCTTTCTTCCTCTTCGTTCTTTTGCAAATGTCATAGGGTTTGCTCTTTTCTATTTAGTCATTCTGGAGCTTCAGTAGCGTTTGTCTTGAGAAATTAGGCCCCAAACCCCTGCTCAGCATCTGTTTGAGTGCAGGGAGATTTCTTGGGTCTAGAGTGAGAGGGTAGACTGGGTGAACAGACTGAAGCCTGCCAATATCTGGAGCCAGAGGGTAAGCTGGTACCATTCAAGAAATTCCTGCATTATAAGTGTGGATTAATGCAGAGAAGACTAGCCACGGACAGGACTCAGTAATAAAACCCGGAGTGAATGAGAAAGCAGTCAGCAGAGATTGTCAGCACTGTGAGAAGGACCACAGCAGAGTGTTGATGCTTTTGCTGGATAACACAGTGCTCAAAGAAGATTGAACCAAAAAAAAAAAAAAAAAAAGATGGAACCATTTAAATGTATTTATTTATTTACAAATGTAGAATCTGAAGAATAAAAGGAAGTAAACAAGCAAATAAAAATATCTAAGCTGCTTAACTGAATTCAGGCTCTGGAATTCCCACATCAGAGAAAAAGAAAGAGCAACTCCGGAAATTGTGTGTGCCTCAGCTAAAGCACAAGTTTTAAGGCTACTTCGATAGCCACCGATTTATAAAAATAAACATACCAAAGTGAGAAACTTCCAGGGAGTTGAGCTTCTCCAACATTAGCTTTATGACAAGTTCATCTGGAATGCTTTGACCACTGAGCAGTATTGATTGCAACTAAGAACCAAAAAAGATAGTGTATATTAGTGTATATACATCTGTGACACAGAGCTTTCTTTTTTTAAATCATAATAATTTTCAAACTTAGATTTACCATAACTCCTGATTCAGTTTCCCTGGCAATCTGTTCTTCCAAAATTGGTAAAACTAAAATATGAATTCAAATTATTAGCACAAACTGCTATTAGAATTGCCAAATTAAGAAACATACTTGTTTTATAATGGTAACAAAGATTAATATTTGCATATCACTTTAAGAGTTTACAAAACATATACACATTATGTTGTGTAAGCCTAACCAAAGCATGAGGCAGCAGAATGTATTCCACAGAGAACTTGTCTCTGCCACTCGCTAGCTAAAATATCTTGAGGAAGCTAACTACTTAAATACCTCTGGGCCTTGCATGCTTATGTCCTGTATAGTATGCAAGAGAATGTGAGGATGAAATGACATTGTGTCCGTGACAGTGACTGGGAAATTGTAAAGTGTCACTCAAAAGTATACACTAAGTATTATTAGTCCAGATACTTTTATAACCACAGAGTTATATCCAGAGCTCATTAATTTTGTACTCTGATTATATAAAAGGAAAGTATGCGTCAAGAAATGTAAAAATAGATAAACGCTGATTAGAAAAAGGGGGCCTGAGGCTGGAATTCCAATGATTTCTTTCCTTTTAAGAGGAAATATTCCATCCCTTATGGAAGACATCCTGGGACAGAAATGACAGGGGCAAGACCTATGGGAGGACTCAGGAACTGAATTATGTCCCTCACTGCTAGTAATCTATGATTGTTCTCCTCAAAATTGTACCAGATTGCAATTTCACTAACACCACATGGAATCCTCATTTCATAACATTCTTGCCAAAAATGATTATAGAAGATTCTTTGTCCATTTGATAGGTAAATATGGATCAGTGTTATTTTAATTAGCATTTCTTCGAATAACAATTTCTTTGAATAATGACTTTTTTCTTATATTTGTCTATTTTTTATTTCTACTTTTATGAATTGCCAATTCATTCTTTTGCTTATTTTTCTATTAGAACAAAAATAGTTTTATTGATTAAAAGAATACTTTATATAAAGTTAGTAGTCCTCATCTTATATACTGCAGAGAATGCAAAGCAAAATAATAAAAAATAAAATTTATCATTGAAAATAATCAAGTCTTGGGGCGCCTGTGTGGCTCAGTAGGTTAAGCATCTGCCTTCGGCTCAGGTCATGACAGGACCCCAGGATTGAGCCCTGCATCCAGCTCCCTGCTCAGTGGGGAACCTGGTTCTCCCTCTCCCTCTGCCCTTCCCTGCTCCTGCCTTGAGCTCTCTCTCTCTCTCAAATAAATAAAATCTTAAAAAGAATAATTAAGTCTTAAAAAATGTTCTGAAGAACAGCTGTGAGAGTTTCTTCTCTTCTCATCTTTCATAGGGAGATACCCAAAACACACATGTCCCCAGTAGTTCTAAATGAGGGAATTAGAGAATTGGAGGCAGTAGAATGAAGTCAAAGATATTTCATAAACCCTCCTAACTTCTGTGAACAAAACTAGGACTAACTGAAAGGCAAAAATATGCCTGATGCTATTTTGAAGATAACATTCACTAGGTTGGTAGTGATGTGTGATAAAGTAATTATAGTGAAATGTTAATCACAGAATCTAGATGATATATTCTTTACATTTTATAAAGTTTTTATAATAAAATATTGGGAGGAAAGAGTAAAATTTACCTTCTACACGAATACATTTCCATGCCTGTGTTATTTGATGAGCTAAAGTTGTCTTCCCAACCCCCTTAAAAAGAAAGATGTTATTTAAAACCCACAGGCATTTGCCAATGAAACAGATATTCTCATTTTCAAAGACTCTATTGATGTGCTCGCTTCAGCAGCACATATACTAAAAGACTCTATTGATGGTTACAATACATGAATATTATCAAGTAAATTTTTTGTCCACAAAATAAATGAACAGCAGACTCTAGATATTTATAGCTTAATTTTTCTCTACTCATTGTTACATTTGCCACATTTTTGAAGTGATTTAGATGACATTTTTTAAATTAAGAAAATAGCCCTGAAACCAGGCAGCTGTACCATTATGGCATTCCCGGTACTGTCCTCTTTTGATTGTCAAATTTTGTAATTTGAATACATATCGTTGTGATTATATTGAAATCCATCACTTTATCTCTTTTCTAAAGTTTTTAGTCATGAATGTTTTGACAGACTTCCACTTAGTAACTTACAAGAACAAAAAATTCTTATTAAATGGACATCTTTGAAAAGTATCATATTTTCAAGACAAAAGATCACTTTAATGTAGTAATATTTGCATCTGATTGTTCTCACTGTTGACTTTTATGTTGAACATTTTTAAATTTAAATTCAATTAATTAACATATAATGTATTTTTTTGTTTCAGGGGTACAGGTCTGTGATTCATCAGTCTTATGTAATACACAGTCCTCATTATATCACATGCCCTCCTTAATGTCCATCACTCAGTTACCCCATCCGTCCACCCCCTCCCCTCCAGCAGCCCTCAGTTTGTTTCCTATGATTAAGAGTCTCTTATGGTTTGTCTCCCTCTCTGGTTTCGTCTTGTTTTATTTTTTCCACTCTTCCCCTACGATCCTCTGTTTTGTTCCTTAAATTCCACCCATCAATGAGATCATATGATAATTGTCTTTCTCTGATTGACTTATTTCACTTAGCATAATACCCTCTAGTTCCATCCATGTTCACTGTTGACTTTTAAAACTCTATTATATGTTAAGAAACATAATGAAAGTTACTGGAACCATTTCCTGGTACCTGTCCCAGGGTCTATATAAAATTAAATTGAGGGCGGGATCCAGCTCTTAGTCTCTGCTGTTCTGGAGAGGATCTTTAATTCACCAGCTCAGGCTCTCTAATGCTAACTACCAACTAGTTCAATGGCTGAAAATACCTCTCATTTAGAGGTCCTTACTAGAAATGCCTAGAAAAGCAGGCTATCTTATATCATCCATTTTTGGTTTCTTTTTATTTTGTAGAAAGACAATACATAGGTCTGCAAACACACTGTGGGCAAAGGTGAGGCACATTGCCTCTCAGTAGCTTCAGATATTAATGGGAGAGCCCCAGTTTGTCTCTGTAGTGTCCCTTCTTCACATACCCAGAGAACCTCATAACAAATTTCACAGAAAGTTTTATAAGCAAATTATGTCAGAAATAACCTTGGATCATAGACTACTAACAATTGTCATGGTGCAATGTTTTGATGAGTTCTATTTCTTCATAATATAAAAACAAAGATAAGTACAATGTAGGTTCCTTTTCAATTATAGTGTACAAGACAAGATAAAGTTAGGAACTTACAACCAATATTATATCAGTTTTTAAGTCATACAATGAAAGCCTAACACTCGAAAAAATTAGCACATTATGTGGTTTTCATTCTTGTATGGTAACATAATATGACTTTAAAAAAATAAAAATTATAGTAAATAGTAAGTTAGAAAAGATAACTTACTGGTTTCCCAAATATAACAAAGCAAACAGGTTTAGACAGCAAAAAGTTATATTCAGCTTCATCTTCATTAAATATATCTGCAAAAGGATACTCTTCTGTCTTCTCTTGAGAATTCATAATGTAAACTACTACAATAAGAAAGGGTAAAATTATTAGTGACTAATTTAGTTGGAAGAAGCTGGCAGGTGAAGGAGAATGAGAATATCCTGGGAATTTACTTAGCCTAGAAGCCATTCCACATCACTAAACACAAAGATTTTGCCGATATTCACAAATAAGTTAAACTTATCTATTAAAAAAATAATAGGCTCTTAGTTTGAGACAAAAAGCAAAATGAGCTATATGTTGTACAAAAGACAGCTAAAACCAAGTGTTTCTGCAAGATTAATTAAGATAAAAATACATATATATACATAAACATATATGTTATGATGTGTATATTCAATTAAAGATCAAATTAAATATGCTATATATATACATACATATATATGTTATACAGACACATATATATGTGTGTATGTGCACATGTGTAGGAACTACTAATGGCTCTAACAGAAATCTGAATGGAAATTAGAAAATATGTAAACTGAAAAAAAATGAACATATATAACAAAACTTAGAAGATGTAGCTAAAGTAATATTTAGAAACCTTAAATACTTACATTAGAACCAAAGAAACTCTGAAAAGTACATGAGATAAGCTCAGCACTTTTAAGATGTTGGGGAAAAAAACCAGGAAAAATAGAAAAATATATTTTAAAAGTTAATGAAATAGAAAACAAACATATATAGAAAGAGTCACCAAAGCTAAATAGTGGTATTTGAAAAAAATGTATAAATAGAAAACTGTCAAGATTGATCAAGAAAATAGAAAGCACAATTAAACAATTTTAGAAGTGTGGTTTCTTATATCTTAAAATTAAGATTTTGTTGTTTTTTATTTCTATCATGAATCAGAGAATGTTCTCCATGGTATACTAATTTTTTGAAATTTGTTGAGGTTTGCTTTATGGCCTAGTACACTGTAGTTTTTTAAGATTCCCTGATTCCTTGAAAAGGATATGTGATTTATGTTTTTTTGATGTAGTGTTCTTTAAATGAGGTTTACGTCAAGTTTGTGAATTTTATTGGTTAAATCTTCCATAATGCCCACTGATTTATTGTCTACTTGATCAAACAATATTAGACACAGAAAGGAGGAAGGACTACAGAGTAACAATGCTACAGATATAATATAGATAAGGCAAGGATATCATAAACAAAGTTATACCAAATAAATTTGAAAATTTAAACAAAATTGATAAATACCTAGAAAAATCAGCTTCTCAGGAAAAAAAAAGAGAAAATCTGAGTGGTTCTATAACTATAAGGAAACTGAGTCAATAACTAAAAATCTTCCCACAAAAGAAACCAGATGGTTTTTTGAAGAGCTCCAAGTCTTAGAATCTTACACTCTTTCAGAGAAAAAATAAAGTGGAGACTTCTTACATCAGTTTATTGGTCTTATATAACCTTTACCTAAATCAGAGAATAGTGTGAAAAAGCAAAATGATGTACTAATTTCATTCATGAACAAGATTTACAAAATCCTAATTAGCTAATTGAATCCAGCAATATATAACAAGATAACATCATGACCAAGTTGGGCTTTCCCCAGGAATTCAAGTCTGGCTTAATATGAGAAATTAATTTATCATATTAAAATAAAAGAGAAAAACTGTATGATTGTCTTAATAGATGTAGAAAAAGTATGAGACAATCTACACCTTTTAATGATTAATAAAGGATAAATCTCTTAGCAACTAGGAATAGAAGGGAATTTCTTTAATCTGATAAAAGGTATTAACAAAAGACAAACATTACATTTAATGATTAAATATTAAAAATGTTCTTTTCAGGTCATGACAAGACAAAAGAAAGAAAACTGTGATTATTCCCAGTTGATATGATTGTCTACATAGGAAACTAATATATCACAGATAAATTTTGAGAATTAATCTGATAATCCAATTTGCTGGATTCAAAATTATACAAAATTCAGTTGCATTTCTATACAGCATGAATTGCTAGAAAATGTAACTAAAGATAAAAAGACTTATCTTTGCAGCAAAATAATAAAGCAACCAGGATTAAATATTATAAAAGATATATAAACCCTTTAGGGAAAAATTACAAAATCTTATGAAATGACTTTAATAAGCAGACTTCAAAAATGGAACAAAACTATGTCCCAGTGGTCTGGGACACTGTTCATGGAACAATGAAAATGTATTATGGGGGCTATATGCTTCCTGGTAAATGGGATATGCTTATATTTCTCTGTGGAATTTAAGAATATTCAAATGGGCTTAATATACCAATATTACTTTAAGATGTCATTATGAAACAAGACATTATAAGAATTATTACTAGTATGTTAAAAAGATTGAGATGAAAACTTCATGACAAAAGAACTAAAATTTCAAGTTATTTTTTGTACCAAAAAATAAGTAATGCTACTATAAAATGTAGTTATAAAGGAGACAATGCATCTAAACCTTTTAGAGAGATGGTACATTTATTAAAGAATATTAAGTACACTAAAACCAGGGCCCTAAGGCCTGGGATGGAACATTTAGGTGGATATTTAAGTACTTTGAACCCCATGATTACCTGTGTTAGGCAGGAAACTAGGCATGAGTGATAGGAGGATGGACCTTAGACATCCTGACAGAGAGCCCCAACTGAGGACTGCCCAGGGACCATCCTCTCCACCCATCTAGCAGTCTGTTTGCAGTTACAACATCTCAGCAGGGGAAGAGTTAAGTTTGTTGTGCTTATTGCACTTGTGCAGAAAGTAGCCTCTTGTCCTTATTTAACCTATGCCTCTAGAATAGCAGAATATGGAGTAGGGTGTGAAAGGCTCACAGAGGTGACATGTTAGATGGATTTGTTAAATGAGGACGTTAAATGAGGCGAGAGAATGCATCAGCCAACTCCGTTCTTTGGGATGGCCAGAGGATACTCCCTTCTTTAAGGCTACAAGGAATGAACTAGTAAGGAGGCACTAGTATCATTAATAAACTCAGTGGTGGCTATCCTTTGTAGGCCAGGATTGGAGGTAGGAGAAAGGCTGCAAAGTAGGTGTAATTACTAGAATGGGCAGCAAGTCCAGAATGGCCACAAGCAAGACCCACAGAGATCTGTGGTGACAGCTGATAAGCCACAGAATTTCTAGGGGTGAAACAGATGAGCAGTAAGCAAAAATGCTGATGAACTTACATTTCTAAAAATGACAAAGGGCAAGTGAATCAAAGGCTGATGTCAGCAGCCACAGTGGAAAATCATGATTCCTTGCCCAACTCTTAGTTCCAAAGCCCATTTACTGAAGGCGAGGCAAGGAGCCCTCGAGAATAGACCCTACAACACCTAACAAGTATTCACAATAGGAATTCCCCAATCCTTCTCCAAGAGAACCTACAACCATTAACTGGGAAAATACACACTGAGGAAATGGGACTATCCTCCTCTTTCCAACTCAATAGGACACAGGGTCTGAGCTGACACCAACACCAGTGGATTCAAAATGCCATCATGGCCCCCTGTAGGAGTGAAAGCAAATGGAGAACCAGTAATAAATGGAGTCTTGGCTCAAGTCTATCCTATAGTACAGGGTCTGCAGAATCATCTCATGGTTATTTTCCTGGTCCCTGAGTACATAACGGGGATTGCAGCTGGTAAAACCTTCACAGTGGTTCCCTGCCTGTGGAGTAAGAGCCAATGTGGTAGAAAAGCCAAGTGGAAGGTCATGAAATTGCTTACCTGCTCCTTGGCCCCTAGGCCAGATAAATAAGAGTAAATCATTCTGAATGAATGAAATGGAAAGGTGCTACCCAAAACTATTTAAAAGATGCATAGCCCTGCTTAATTCTCCAGTGTGGCTTTTTGAAAAAACAAGATAGATCATGACAAATGATGGTGGACTACTGAAAACTTAACCAAGGGATAGCCCCATTTGTAAATGCTGTGCAGATGAGAACTTTACTAGTTGGACACAGCTTCTTGTACTTGGTATGTAGTTATTCATCTGGCAAATGTGTTATGTTTTTTTAAATCCCTGTCAGAATAGAAGATTAGAAGCAGTTTGTATTCACTTGAACAGTCAGCAAGGGACATTCAGTTTTACACCAGGACTCTCCTGTGTCTGTAGCAAATATAGTACAAAGGGGTCTTGTTGATCTACAATATTGGGTGAGCAGGAAGTGGCAAGTGTTCTGGACGCCTTCATAAGACACATGAGCAGCAGAAAGTGGAAGATACATTTACAAAGATTTAAAGGCCTATTATTTTGGTGAGGTTTTAAAAGGTCAGAGGTCTGGGTCATTCCGAGATATTCTCTCCAAGGTAAAGGACAAGTTATTGTACCTTACGCATTCTACCTCTGAAAGAAGAGGGGCAGTATTTATAAGTCTCTAGTTTTGGGAGACAGCACGTAGCACACTTGGGGATACTTTCTGATCCATTTAATGGGTGACTTGGAAAGCTATCAGTTTTGAGTGAAGCTCAGAGCAAGAGAGAGCTCTGCAGCAGTTTTAGTGTATGATACCAGAGGCCTGCTTCTTAGGCCTTATACCTGGCCAGATCCCATGATGCAATAGGGAGGTACTGAGAGTACGTAAGAATACTTTTGGAGTCTTAGCAAAGCCACGACAGAAACCTCTCATGTATATCACTGCTGTCTGTGGCAGAGAACGATTCCCCGTTCAAGAAGCAGCTCTTGGTAATACTCTGGGCTCCGGGAAAGAATGAATGCCTGGCCATAGGACATCAGGTGACTATGGAACTGGATGTGCCCATCATAAGCTGGGTATGTCAGATCAAGTCCTCAAGTTGGGCAGGCATAGCAGCAATCCACCAAATGATAAAAATGGAACACTTCCAAGTGTTCAGTTCCAAGCAGGTCTGGAGAGTACAAATAAGTTTCATAAATAAGCAGCCCAGAACCCATGTCACCTATCTCTTGCTCACCAATGTCTCTCTTTCAGCTCACACCTCATATGGAATTCCCTAAGAATAGTTGATAGAAAATTTTTAAAAATCATAGATGCATCATGATATATTGGTGCAAGCTGTAAATGGAATGCTTCCAAACTTTAATCCCACTCGGGGGTAGCCGTGAATGATGATGATTAGGGAAAATCCTCCTTGTGGGCAAAGATTTTTTTTTTTAAAGATTTTATTTATTTATTTGAGAGAGGGAGTGAGAGAGAGAGAGAGAGAGAGAGAGCACAAGTGGAGGGAGGGAGAGGGAGCAGCAGACTCCCCACTGAGCAGGGAGCCCAATGTGGGGCTCCAACCCAAGACCCTGAGATCATGACCTGAGCTGAAGGCAGACACTTAACCAACTGAGCCACCCAGGTACCCCTGTGGGCAGAGATATAAGCAGTATTCCTAGGTCCTCTGTTTGGAGGACAATATTGAATGGTGTGGTCAAGGGCCTGAGAGGAGCAAGATTGAAAGACAAGAGAAAGAGTTCTGGGGAAGAGGTATGTGAATGAAACTATGAGAGGGGTGTACAAACACACTCTATGGTAACCCCTAACAAGTCACACCCTGTGTGATTATTCCCTTCTCTTACGTGCGGATGGAATCTGTGACTTGCTTCTAAATCTAGTGAAAGTGTTAGAAATATTATTCTCATGATTACACTATATTACATAAGATCCCATTTAGTATACTGGAGAGACTTCCTGGTTGGCTTTGAATTAAGCTGCCATGTTGTCAAAGGACTGCATGGCAAGGAATAGTGGGTGGCCTCCAGTCACTGAGAGCAGCCCCTGGGCAACAGCCAGGAAGAAAAGTGGGACCTCAGTCCTACAACCACAAAAAGATGAATTTTACCAACAATCTAAATGAACTTGGAAGCAAGTTCTTCCCTAGTCAGGCTTCCAGATGAAAATGCAGCTCAGCCAACACCTTGACTGCAGCGCTGTGAGACCCTGAGTGGAGGACCCAGCTCAGCTATGCCAGGACTCCTGAACGTGGAAACTTGAGATAATATATGTATGTTTTAAGCTGCTAAATTTGTGGTAATTTTGTTATGTCACATAGAAAATAAATACAGGTGGACACAAAATATGTGGATTTTTGTGTCTCACAAAGCAGGATGATTATCCAGTAAATGCCAGCCATTGTTTATCCTTGTCACCTCAGTGCTTCCAAAATGGCTCATGAATGGAGGAGGCATGACAGTGGGGATGGAGGCAATGGAGGCCATTCATGGGCTCATCAGGCTGATTTAGCCACTTCTACCACTGAACACCTCACCTGTCTGCAGCAGAGACTGAGGCTGAGTCCTCAATATGGTATATCCATTCAGTGACAAACTGATTACATGGGACCCCTTCACCTGGGAGAGGGCAGCAGGTGACATGTGTCCCTAGTATGGGTGTGCCTTCCCTACCCACAATGCCTTGGCCAGCACCACTATCTGAGGGTTTGGAGTGTGTCTCATTTATCACAGTGAGATCCATATAATATTGCCTTGGATCAAAGGACCCTCTTTATAGTAAAGGAGATATGATAAGAAGGTTCCACTGATTCTACTACATACCACTTTATCCAGAAGTTGCTGGTCTGACAGAATGTTGGAATGGCCTTTTAAAGGTACAATTAAAGCTCTGTTTGGGATCACGTGGGATTGAGATACTACTTCAAGATGAGAAATATGCTTTGAACCAAGGGTTAGGAATGGTCCCTCCTACCATCACTCTGTGATTGACATGAGGAATTTGTATCACCTTTCCTCATGACTTCAGGCTCTGCCGGACTGGAGGTCCTGGTTTTGATTGATGGGAGAGAGATGCCTCTATCAGAGGATCCCCTTAGTTAGGTTTCACTAAACCTAAAACTGCTGCCTGGTCATCTGTGGTTCCACATGCCCATAAGGAGTTACTGCACTGGCAGCTGAGGATAGAGTTGCTGCTACATACTTGGAGGAGGGAGATGTATGTCTTGAACTCAGGGATTTCTCTAAGACACCTCTTGTAATTATAGCAAGCACAACCTGACAAAGACACGGTAACAAGAGGCTTACATCCCTCAGGGATGAAGGCTGGTTACCCTACTGGGAAAACAACAGAGACCAGCAAAAGTGCTGGCCAATGGTAAGAAAAATCTACAATGGGTGGTAGAGGACAGAAGTGATGAATTATCAGTTACAGACCTAGGATTAATTGCAGTAGTGGATTCTGCAGCTTGTCCCACTAATCATCTTTTAGTAAGTCCTTTTCTTTTAGAAACTGGGATCAGCCACCACCGTGAAGAATTGGTGAGGGGATGGTGTGAACTTAATGTGGGGGCAGGGTGGATATGAGTAGTGCAAAGGTTGGAATGTACCAAATGCTATTAGTACCCATAACCACTTGACATGTACCTTTTCCATGCATGACCAGCCTGACTTCCAAAGGCTAGCATGTGTGACTCTTTGCCTAAGGGCTCTTTCCAGCTGCCATACCTAGTCGGCCTGAGCACAGGGCACACTGGAAGTTCCAGGGAATTAATGTTCTGCCATAGCAGGCCTCAGACAATAATTGATGGCAGTTGGTGAATAAATGCCCCAGCTCTTTTGCCCTTAAGAGAGAATTACTCTGAGACATACATCTCAGGATTATCCAGTGAATTCAGCCCACAGAGAAATTTGCTTATAATATTCCCTTGATCAGCTTCCTTCTGCTCACTGATGTTTCCTGGGATTACTTCCCATATAAAGCACTTGCGGTCGAATTTTTGTCTCAGGATCTGCTTCTGGGGGAAACCAACAAAGACAAAGTTCAAATGGAAGTGCTATATTACAGTATAATATAATAATTGAAAGCTAAATATTGGAAACCAAAAGTCTATAGATATTATAAGAGTTGTTATCCTAAACAAAAACATAGTGCAAGTATTTAATGCTTATATTCAGAAGAATTGGTTTCCATTAGGAAACAAAACAGAACTAAATATTCTTCCCAGTTGAAAGGTCCAGGTCAACCTAAAATGCCAGAACTAACGTGATGATCTTTCTAGTTCTTAATAAAGGTAGGACTAAACTATGAAAGACAATTAAAATACTAAATAATTAAACATTTATTTTTAAAAAAATTGGTAATCTCTCAATTTTAAATTTACAATATGATCTCTAGCATCTTCTTGTTGTGTAACATAACCTCGAATATCACATTACGTTATGCGTTTATACTATAATTCAATAGAATTTTTAAAAGTTCCCTCACATTTTTAGCTGTTGGGAAACCCTCCAGCAGTGGGTTCTGTGGTTTACAGGCGGCCCCTCTCCTGGGAAACCTAGTAACTTCTGCTGTGGCGACGCCTTATACTCTCCTAATAGGTGCTCAGTAAATATTTGTGGAATGAAGACATTAGTCGTTGGAAGGGAAAATGGCTTTAAAAGTACTTTACCGAGAGACCCCAAAGTTCAGTTTTTTAAGAAAAGGAACTGGTCTGGGGTCCCCGCAGGAGGTGAGGTTCCATTCAATTGATACAAAAGGCGTCAGGGCGGGGGACTACTTACTCCGCCACAGCAGAGTCGTCAGAAGCCCACAGGACCCACTCGCTGGCGGCAGCAACCGCCTCCGGTGCCTCTCTGTCTGTGGACCGGTTGCCTAGGGAACCCGTGGCGGGGCTTCGCGCAGAGCCTCTTGGGGAACCCGGCCTCGTGAGGCGGGGCTGTAATTCATTCATTTTTTAAAAATTTACGTATTCACTTTTGCACTTAACTTTGTATTTATAACACATTCCTTTTCACAGATATAGAAGGTGACGATTAGAGACGGTGTGTACACTACCCACTTCTGTTCACATACATCAAATGGAAGAAACCTTATTTTAACCCACAATTGCCCGTCTCCAAAGCCAGTGCCGCACCACAGGGCACTACACTTGGCACGCAGTCCATTTGTAGAATTTACAAATGGCCAGTCTCCGCCACAAATACGTGGCAAAGTCCAAAATGTCCAACTTCAGGTGATTTTTTTTTTTAAAAGGTGATTTTTAAAAAATTCCTTGAACCCCACAGCCTCAAAACAATATGGTTTTTGTTGGCTCTCACAAGCGTTAAAATGGATAACAATGAGATGCAAGGGGAAAAAAAAAACACCGACACTCAGGGAAGGGCTATCAGATATGTTTCTAGGAAAATAAGGGCAGAAGTAGACAGAGAAAAAAAGACCAACTTCTATTGGATCTATCTACAACTCGGAGAACCGCTTCAAAAGAAGCAATCCAGTCGCAAATCGTCTCCCTTTTCTAAAAAGGAGACCAGATGAAGCGAGAACCGAAACTAACCACGCGACTTTTTCTCCGCCCACTTTTTCTCTTGCCCGCACCAAAAATGGCGCCCTTCGCTTCCTCCCTAGGCAGCACGCAGGTTCTGGGAGCCTCTACACGACCTCTCTACGGTATATCCTCCAGTCCCGCCCCCGACGCGCCCGGGGCGGGGCTTGCCTGGAGGTGGGGGAGCTGGGATCCGGAAGCACCTGAGCTGTACCCGGTCTTCTGTATGTTTAGTGTCCAAGTGGTGTTTTCTGGCTGGATCTAGTGTCGGGGGTCTGAGGTGTCTTCTCTCCGGGCCTCCTGGGACTGTCTGGAGGCTTGCCGCACCCTGGGCTGCGGCCTGGTGCCCTGTCGTGGCAGCCCCAACTTCCTCCTACCATGCCCGCGGCCGCCGCCCCCATCATCAGCTCCGTCCAGAAGCTGGTTCTGTATGAAACCAGAGCTGTAAGTTCCCCGCGCCGCGGGGCACAGTGGGGCGCGCGCGGGAACACGGTGGTAGAATCCCCCTTCCTGGGTCCCTAATCCCAGCCTTGGGCATATGTCTGAGGAGGCTTCGCCTTGTCATCGCACCCAGGGCACTGCTGCTTTTGCTTGTACATGTTTCCACTTAAAAGTCACGGTTGGAACGCACTGGAAACAGGTGCTTGTGGTATCTCAGAAACTGTTTATGAAGTTCTGAACGAGTTACTGGATTTTTTAAAAAAAACTTTCAGAAAGCCTGTTAGTGTTTTGCAGTTCTATACTTAGAGTACAGGCAAGGGTATGAAAAAATATTTTTGACCTTTGAATGGGTAATTTGTGTGTTTTCCTATTCCATGGCATACCAGTCACTATGAATTGATGTTAATTATGTGCACTTTTGTTGCTAAAATACTTGGTTCTGTTTATTTGAAAGGAAAACTTACTTTGTTTAAAGACATTTGTTTGGATAACATTATTTTGCTTTTCACTTTTTTACAACACTTTTTGTTTGTTTTATTACTTCGAGTGGCCATGTAAACAGGAGTAGAATAGATCAGTTTTTGTGTTTAGATTCTAGGTCCCTAAGATTTAATGGAATAGTGTTTATAGAAGTACATACTTTGTCATTTGTGTGGTTGGAAAATAAAGTATAACTTTTCTGAGTTGAGGTAACAGTGATGTTAGGATCTGTGTTTAAAATTGCACTTCATGGTAATAGAATTGCATATGCCAGAAACCTTCCTACTGTGCTGTAGAGTGTTTATAAGGCATATTCAACGGAACTTGGGTTGTCTTCCATTAGATAAAGTAGGTAACTTAACAGTTTCTTGGTTATAACATGGTTCTAATAGCACATCTGCCTCGGGTCACAATGAGTGAAGAAACATTGTTGACCCTAAGTTAATTTTGTTGGCAACTTCATTTGATTGGATCCAGACCAAAAGATGAAATTATCTAATATTCATAGATTCTTCAGTTCTGTGAGAAGAGTCACACAGAAGTATTTTGACATTTAAATAAAACCTTCTGCTTTCTGTACAAAGTGCTGGTAAATGTCCCTGTAGGAAACATAAATACTATACTTGAAACACAGAAACTTCAGCTCCTTTATAAGCTGAGCATTCATTAGGACTGGCTGAGATGTTAGTGTTTTTTGAAAGCACAAATTGTATTATAAGGCTCTTCTCAGAAACCTTCAGTAGCCTCCATTTGAGGGGAGTAGATTCTGAATCTCTTAGTTTGGCATTCAAAGCCGTATGTGATTTGTCCAAAACCTGTCTGGTCTTATATCTAATTTAATATTAATTCAACAAATATTTACTGAGGATTAACTCTGTGCCTTATTCTGCAGCAAAACTATATTGCTTTCAGTTCCTTATACCTACCCAGAGTATTTTCTGCAGCTCTCTCTTTGTAAAGTCCCACCCCTCCTTCTCCTGTCACAACCTGCTGGTCCTCACAGCACAGATCTGGTACAGGGCCTTGCAAACAGTAGGCTTCCAATAGATGCTGGTTGAGAGTGTCTAACATGAAGATATCTGTGTTCTAGAACTTAGTTGTTACCCCTCTTGGTCATCTAAGGAATGGAAACTAACTCCAGCCAGCTTAGAGATAAAAAATGAGTTTATCAGAAGGATGCTGGAGGAGCCATTGCATGGAATCACTGGAAGAGCCTAACTCCCTAGCTTCTGGAAAGGCAGGGTAAGAGGACCCACTCAGAGTGCTGCCAAGGGCATACCATAGGTACTAGGAGAAGGAATCTGATTGACTCAGCTATGATTGGGAATCTGCCAAAGTCTGGTAGTACTGACTTTGTTCCGAGGAATGGTTGGAACCAGGGCAACCACCCTGAGAAATGTCTGCTGCATTTAATCTTTGAACCTCAGTTTCCTCATCAGTAAAAGTATGTGACTTTTCTTTTTTATATTTTTGACTTAAAAATTTAAGCAGAAAGATTTATTTGAGTAATAAGCTCAAAGTTTAAGGGACATAGATAATTCAGAAAAAAGGCATAAAATTATTGGCAACTAAATAGATCCTAGGAATTAAAAAAAAAAAACTGTAGCAGGTTTTATTAATGAGAAGAATAGCTAGTGTCTATGGAACTTCTATGCCAGCCACCGGTCAAAGAACTCAACATATATTTTATTATTTAATCCTCTTAAAACCTCGAAGAAGTAAATCCTGGTACTACTACTATGATTACTATTCACTATTATTCAGTGAAGAAAAGAATGAGGCAGAGAGGACTGTGCTATTGAGAGTATGGGCTGATACCTGGTGCCAGGCATAGATAGTTTATAACTGGACTGGGACAGATTATATTTAGAAACTGAGAGTCAGTGGTTAGAAACTTTTATGGCTGTTTGACAGAGTAATTGTATTCCTGATGAACCAAATAATTTAGAACATTGAATTTGTGGTTTGTGTGTCTTTGGGTTTTTTGTTTTTAGCTTTTTTATTATGAAAATTTTGAACAAATACAAAATAAACAGAATAATATAATAAACTCCCACATATCTATCACCAGCTCCAAAATTACCTTTATTTTTTAAGAAGATTTATTTATTTTTGAGAGAGAGACAGAGACAGAGACAGAGAGAGCACTGCAGGGGAAAGGGGCAGAGGGAGGGGGTGAGTCCTAAGCAGAGTCCATGCTGAGTGCAGAACCCGATGCCGGGCTTGATCTCAAGACCCCGAGACCACCACCTGAGCTGAAACCAAGAGTCAGACACTCAACCAACTGGGCCACCCAGGTGCCCTCAAAATTACCTTTATTAGCTATAACTCGTTCCACTCCCCACCCACCACTTATTTTATTATAAGTTTCTTTTTCTTTAAAATTTAGATAAATTGAAAGGCACAAATCTAAGCTGTAAAATTTGGACAGAAAGTATACACGTATGTTAACCATACCCCTGTCTTGCCCCAGAAAGTTGCGTTGCATCCCTATCCGGTCAATTGCCCCCTTTTCCTTACTGACAACTAATATTCTTTCCTTTTTAACCTTAGAATAAGATAGGCCTATTGAAAACTTTCATATGGGTGGATTTATACAGTACATACTCTGTTGAGTCTAGCTTTTTTTGCTCAGCATGTCTTTAAAGTTCATCCATATTGTATCAGTAGTTTGTTCCTTTTTATTATTGAGTAGTAGTCCATTGTATACATATTCCACAGTTGGTTTATCCATTTTCCTTATTGATTTAGACTTGTTTCCACATTTAGGCTGTTGTCAGGCCAGTTATGGACAGTCTTGAACAAGTATGTTTGTGGACATAACTTTTCATTTCTTTTCGTAAATACCTAAGAATGAAATTGCTACTCACAGAAGTGATGTTAGGTTCTTACAACAGCAAGGTATGAAAATCTTCATTGCTCCATATCCTTGCCAGGATTTGGTGTTGTTAGTCTTTTTAGCTTTAGTTATTCTCGTGCCTGTATAGCGGTATCTCATTATGGTTTTGATTTGCATTCCCCTAATGACTGATGATATTGAGCATCTTTTCATGTGCTTATTGGCCATTTTTATATCTTCCTTTGTGAAGTGTCAAAGTCTTTTGCCCACTTAAAAATAATTGGGCTGTTTGTCTTTTTATTTTTGATTTGTGGTTTTTTATATATTCTGGAATCAAGTCCTTTGTGATATATGTTTTGTGAATATTTTCTTGCAGTCAGTGACTTGCCTACTCCATTTTCTTAATTTTTTTTCAGCATTACTGTGATACAACTGACAAAATTGTAAGGTATTTAAAGTGATCTTTTGATGAGCTAAAGTTTTTCATTTCAATGAAGTTGAATTTATCAAGTTTTTCTTTTGTGTTTATTGCT